CCCGCTGCGAGATGGCGGCTCGGGAGCGGCCCGCTGGGATGAAGAAGAGGTTGTGCCGTGGGGACTGCCCGGAGGGATGCTTCAGGCCACGCTGGGCCCCACACTGCAGAGGGAAAAGGGACGCGGAAGGGAAAAAGCCAACGGAAGGCGATTTGTAGGTGCGAGGCAGGGTGAGAGGGGTGGCACAGGGAGCGAGGGGAACACGCGGGGCAGGGCGTTCGTTTCCCATCTTTGCCCTGCCAGTGTGGTGGGTGGTGGGCTGACCCTGGCTGGATGCCAGGAGCCCACCCAGCTGCTCAATCGCTCCCCTCCTCAGCTGGACGGGGGAGAGAAAATATGACAAAAGGCTCGTGGGTTGAGATAAGGACAGGGAGATCACCTGGCAATAACCATCATGGGCAAAACAGACACGATTTAGGGAAATTAATTTATTGCCGATCAACGACAGAGTAGGATGCTGAGAAATAAGAACAAATCTTAAACCTCCTTCCCCAGCACAAGGAGAGGGAGGCCCCATAGACACAGATGTTTGTGCTGTAGTTACTGAGGACAAGAGAGAGGAATCACCGTTTATTTTGGGTGCCACAAACTGAAATTTTAAGCACAGGAGATCCATATCCAAGCTGGACATGAGGACTCCTTGTCCCATCAGTGATGCTGAGAGGAGAGGGAGACGTCTCAATCTGGAGCCAAATCCAGCTGGCCAGTTGGCATTCAGGCAGCTGATGGGGGCATTTCAGGTTGTGAATGTCTGAGGCCCAAGTGCTGAACCCAAGCATGAGCCTGCTACATGCTGGATACAACCGGAACAGGCTGCCTTCAAATTTTGTTAATACCTGCACTAAACAAGCGTGGTTGGTCCTGAGTCCTCCAGATAATACAGAGAGGGGACAGACCCACCGGCGAAGAGGCCGGTCACCTGCTGTGTGCTTCTGCACAGACGCTATTCAGACAGGAAGAACTGTGAGCGTGGGGTTCATGAAGGAGGAAGGTGAACCTCTGAGCTGGAGGGAGGTCTTGGAAAAGGAGGAATTTGATAGGCACGACGATAAGAGACCTTGGTCCTGCTTGAGACCGGTAACGGTGAGCAGCCATGCAGCTTAAAACCGGCCCTCCAGGTCTGCCTGGACTTGCCTAACCCTCCAGGACCAGTAGTTCCCAGGACCCTGCCCCTACAAATCATACTGGAATCACACCTGGGGTTTGCAACAGCACCTCCCTTTTTAATCCCAGCAGATAAATCCATTTTGGGTGCAGGCTGGTCGCTCCCACTGGGGACAGCCGTGGCTGGGCTCTGATGTGCCACATATCCCCGTCCTTCTGCTCTTCCTGCTGGGCTCTGTCCGCCTCTAACACCTCATCCAGATCGTTGGCAGGGCTGTGTGGCTGAAACAGCAGGGACAAAATTGCTCTCACGCCCTGAGACCTGTCCTGGCCCAGCCCTGCCCCATGCCCGCACACCCATGGTCCCATCGGTGCCCACTGTCCTCAGCTCAGGACAAGCACTGAGCACTCGCTTGGAGCTGCAGAGAGCTACCCGGAGGCAGGGGCTGACCAACATCATTCCCAGGCCAGCAGAAATGGGAGGATGCCGTATCCAGCCCCACGGCTCAGGATCAGGATCATGGACCCAGTGCTGACGAAACCATGCCGGGACGTGGCAGGAACCGTGCACACTTACTGCTTCAGTGAGATCTTCACTGGGACACGCTGTGGTTCCCATCTCCACACCTCCCTTCTCTCCTGGAGCTCTCTGTCGTACTCTCTTCTCCTGAGGTAGGCTGGAGGAGTGGGGCAGTAGGATTTCTGAAAAGCAAGAGACAATTCTCAAGCAGCAGGCAAATGCAGGGCTCTGTCTCCCAAAAGCGCCAGCTCTGTGGCCGGCTGTGGCAGGCATGCTGCAGACGTAGTGGAGGCATTGGGACAATCACAGCCACAAGTCCCCATGGGGATGTTGGGGTTGGACCAGGGGCTCGCCGGGCTTCCCAAGTGGCACAGCTGAGGTGCAGCAGTTATGTTGGGGAACTCTTGGTTTCCTTTTTTATGAACTTCTTACCAGGTAATCTCGTCTCCCTTCTAGAGCCACCTTTGTCTCTGTTTTGTCAACTGTCAACTTCAAGACAACACGTGCTCTCCTCTGTCACGCGAGGGGAAAGAACAAAAAAGAGTGCATTTTGGCTTGAGGGGCCACAAAAGGAAATGGCCCAGCCCAGCCCAGGCCCTGTTCCCCCCCAATTTGGGGGAAACAACACAGCCGTGCCTTGCAGACCTCCACACCCCCAGCCCTGCCTGGGGGAGGGAAATGCCATTCCTCTGCCTGGCTGCCAGTACCTGGGCATTCAGGGCAGCTGTGCTGGCCTGCCAGGCCTCCTGTTCTGCCCACTCGGCTCTTTCTTGCTTTTCCTTCTCTTCCAGCAAGGCTGCCCGGAGACTTCGTTCCTCTTGCTGCATGCACAGGTAGCATACCTCCTGCAGGGCCCACGGACACACACGCAGTGTTAATAGCAGCCACGGTGGGGTTTCTGTGCCTCGTTCTGAACACTTCTGGCTGCAGCGTCCTGCTCCTGCTGCCGTAACGGCATTTCTCCACCATTCACTATGACACAGTGGCGACACGGGGTGAGATCACCTACCTGTCCCACTCTCCGATGGCCTTTGCAAAACGGGATTTCAGTTTTCCGTCTGCGTTGACGAGTCACTTTGCTCTTGCCCTCCTGCACGGAGCTCCCCTCAATCCCCGGCAGCGCACTGAAGATACAAAGCGGGCAGGGTTTGGGCGCTGCCAGACACACTCGCATCTCCTCTGCGAGCGCAGGCGTGCGAGTCGGGCACCCGCCCCTGCAGCAGAAGGGGGTTGTGCAGCAGAACCGTGTCGCCTGCTCTTCGCCTGCTCCTCCACGGAGCAAGAGGTGCTGGGGGTGCTGCGGATTGGGCCCTCTCTGCATCACTGGAGATGACTGCCTCCTGCAGAGCCCCAGCTGAGTGACCTCGAGGACTGCCTGCTGCTCAGCTTGCTGGGCTTGGGGCTGCAGGGGGCTTTGCTGCTGGGGCACGGTGAGAGGAGGAGGCAAGGATGCAGGGAGAAATGTTATCTCCTGCAGGAAAAACTCCATCTCCTTTTGCCCAGGAGAGTATTGTGCCTCCCAAAAACCAGGGATGGGTTCACTTCCACCTAAAGGAAGTGAGAATGTGATCCTCAAGTCCTGGAACCAAGAAGCCGACACGGGAGTCCCACAAAACCCTGCCACACACATGTCCTCCAGCAAGAAAACGCCCACCCCAGGGACATGTCCAAAGAGCCTTCCAGAGCTGATCAAGGCAACGTGTCCATCACAAACATCTCACTCCCGCAAGGACCAGAGCACACCCCTGCCCCAGAGCGTTTCTCCAAGCCTCTCACCTTCCTGGGTGACGCTTGACGCCCAAGGCTTGCTCACCCTTGTCATCCTTTCTTCTCAGCCCAGGCAATGTCACAGGGGAAAGCTTCCTCCGATGAAGGAGACTCTTCTCAGGAGGACTCTCTGCGAGTGAGACACAGGAAATGTCCTCAGAACAACAGCATCTTTGTGGCCTCTCAGACAAGAAGCACGTGCGGAGCTGCTCAGTCCTGGTGGGAAACATCTGTGCCAGCATTCCCGAGTCCCTCGGAGTCACATTTCCTAGGAGGACTTAGGCAGCTGCGAACCCTGTATCTCATCCAACTCCACAGGTCCAGAGTGCAACTGTCATGGCTGTTGTATTCCTTATCTTGTATTGTGTTTCCCTAGGACATCTTCTGAAAAATGGGGCTTGCCAGGAAAAGCTGGAGACCCCATTGAGTCTCTTTCGGGCAAACAACTTCACCCAAGGGGAAGAGATCCCAGGCTGTCTGCACTGGTCTTGTAGACACATTTGCTCCTGTGGCCACTGTGAGCCCAAAGACGCTGTTTTAAGGAGTCTGAGCAATTCCAAAAGATGGGACCAAGCTACCAGCTCCCAAGCTGCTGTGGTGTTGGGGCACACGCTTGGAGACTTCTGACAATCTTCCCAACACAACTTTACTTGTGAAATGAAGACAGGTGGAAGCCCCCGGATATACCAACCCTCCTTTTCCTTCCACTTAGGGCACAAGTTGCTGCTCAGCGTGAGGGTGGAGTCTATCCCCTTTTTGTCCCCCTCCAGTACAAACACACTCCTCAAACAAAAAAAGCCTTGGCAGGATACAGCAGGGAGCAGCACGCAGTGTTCACCAACCCCAACCTGGAGCATTGCGCTGTCCAAGGGTCTTCCACAGTGGGCCCCAGAAGACTATTTGGGACAAATGCAGCCACAAGATGGGCAATTTTCTGACCCACACATCACCTCGTAGCAAGGTTTTCTTTCCCTGGCACTAAGGGCAGAAGGGAAACCTGCAAGGCAGCGTCAGAAGCCATCCATTGCTTTGTCTTCTTTCTCGGTCCCCTTACCAGTGCCTTCTTCCACGTGTTGTTGGAGCGACGTGAGAGACCCCAGAGTGGCAGATTGTGCTTGGGCAAACTCAGACCTGGAAATCAGAAGACATCAAATATGAAGCCGACACAGGAGTCCCACAAAACCTTGCCACACACGTGTCCTCCAGCAAGAAAACACCCACCCCAGGGACACGTTCAAAGAGCTTTCCAGAGCTGATCAAGGCAACGTGTCCATCACAAACATCTCACTCCCGCAAGGACCAGAGCACACCCCTGCCCCAGAGCGTTTCTCCAAGCCTCTCACCTTCCTGGGTGACGCTTGACGCCCAAGGCTTGCTCACCCTTGCCATCTTTTCTTCTCAGCCCAGGCAATGTCACGGGGGAAAGCTTCCTCCGATGAAGGAGACTCTTCTCAGGAGGACTCTCTGCGAGTGAGACACAGGAAATGTCCTCAGAACAACAGCATCTTTGTGGCCTCTCAGACAAGAAGCACGTGCGGAGCTGCTCAGTCCTGGTGGGAAACCATCTGTGCCAGCATTCCCGAGTCCCTCGGAGTCACATTCCCTAGGAGGACTTAGGTCCTCTCTGATGGGGTTAACTGAAAGAGCGCTTGGCAAGATATCCTCAGGGTATAATGGGATGGAGTGGGGAGGTGTCCTTCAGCAGATCAACCGCAGCTGGGACCAGTGGGTGTGCATTGCATAGCCTTGGCTTCCATGCCCTGGCAGTAAGGAAACCTGCAAGCCTGTGCCAGGATCCATCCATTGCTTTACCTTCCTTCGCTTTCTCCTCAGCCATGACTTTTCCCACGTCTCCCCCTTGTTCAGACTGGAACTCTGCCCTCAGCCTGGATAACAGCCGGCTGAACTCTTCGCTGTGAAGAAGGTGAAAAGGGGTGAAGCTGACAGCGGTGTCTCACAAACCCCTGCTGTGCACCTGCAGCCCAGCCAGAAGATGCCGGCCCGTGTGAGGTGCACTAATTGCCTTTCAGCGCTAACACAGACAGCGCGCCTGGCAGAAACCTCTTGCTCCCACGAGTACAAGACCACCTCATTGCCCTCATCCTCTTCCCCAAGAGCCTCACTTGTGCACAGGCTTCTTTGTGCTGTCTTGTTCCTTTTTTGCCTCCTTGGCCCCTGTCGGTTTGCCTGGTGGATGCCTCTTCTGACGGTGGAGACGCTTGTCGGGAGGGCTCCCTGCAGCTGTGAAAGAAGACACCTCTTCAGAAGAGCAACTTGTGACCGCCCTGGCAAGCGGAGGTGCAGACCTGCTCAGTCCCGCACGGTCTTTACCTTCTTTCTGCCTGGATCCCTCTGCGGGGGGAGAGTCCTTGGCTGTTCTTTCAGGGGGTGGCTTAATCTCAAACCTGGGAAGAAGCAGACACAAGATGGGAGAAAGGGAAGGACACCTTCCCTTGGCATCCAGCACTGTGAGGTCTCTTGTTTTCTAAACCAGCACATCCAGGCTGTTCGCCACCTCAGAGGATGCCGTCAGGTAACTGCATGACACAGCCACGAGCTCCCCAGCTCCCTGGCAGACCCTCCCTGATGCACTCTCTGGATTTTTGCAGAGCCAGCTCTGCTCCACGCCTCATCGGTGGATCTGCTTAGCAGGGCTTGTCCCAGCATGGAGCTCTGCAGAGCCCCGCAGCCTCCCTTTGGGCCAGCAAGTCCCTCCTCTTCCTCCCCCTTGCTCCAAGGAAAAGTCATTCCGGAGACTTTTCATGTCCTGGAGTCTCAGGAAAGACAGGGAAATGTCCCCAGGGGGGCACGTGCAGGTCAGATCTTTGACCAGCCTTGAAGAGAGGCTTCGTGGGTACAAGCCAACACACAGGAAAACTGAGAAGCTGATTTTTAAACTCTTTTTGCCAGCACCCCATCTGGGTCTGTAACTGTGCTGGGAGGGTAAAGCACAATCCCTCTTCCACACTAATCCAGGTGAAGATGGTCAGAGTCAGGAATAAGAAGGAACACGCATGGAGGTAGCTGGGAACCCTTCCTGTGAGGGAGCATTCTTCAGTAACCTTGGGAGCAGGCACGGGCTGGCAACGCAGCCCTGGCAGCAGGAGCTGAGAAGCCATGCAAATGTACTCACGTGGGCAGCACACGGATCCCCCCAGGACACACGTGGAAAGCTGCAGGTTTGTTGCCCGATACCACGTTAATCCTTGTCTGTGGGTTCTGCAGGAAGCACAAGAGACGTGGCAGATGAGGCCAAGGAAAGGAGCTCCTCCTTCCCAAAGGCAGGAAGCTTTCCCAGCGCTCAGCGGAGCTGCCTCGAGGAAGCTCCCTCCATGCGTGCCTTTCACTACCAGCAGCCCTCCCTTAGCACAAACAAGAGCTGGGTGGTTGCGCTTGGTCTTGCACCAGCAAGCTGTTGGGCATGGATCCCTGACTGGAGAGGTGTTGGGCTTGAGCCAAGACAGCTCTTCTCCAGGCCTCCTCTGTAGCCAAGACCACCGAATGCAAGCGAGGTGCTCTACAGAGAGCCCTTGCCCAAGTCGTATGCTGATCGTGGCCGGCCAAGAGAAGCCAGGTCCTGAGTCCGCTGAGAGGATCTCAGAAGACCGCCAAGGAGCCCTGGAAAAAGTGTTAAACTTACAGACAGCAGGCAGTTTAACAGCATTCCAGTGCCATCGATGGTGAGGAGAAAGTCTTCATAGTATCTCATCGTGAGGATCTTATTTCGGCTCATAAGGAAACCTATGCCCTTGAAAACAAGGTCATAATCCTCTCCGAGCCCTGCGCCCCAGCTGAAGAGCACCACGATGTCATTCACGCACTCCTTCACCAGCTTCTTTGGAAGGGTCGTCCTCTGAGACAGCTGAGAATAGTCCAGGGGGACGATCTTGAGGTCCTCTGGAAAACAGCAAAAGAGGAGCAAGGTCAGGCAGGCAGCAGCTCTGCAGGCGGAAGGAGCTGCCCACCCCACCGGCACTCCTGTGCTGCAGACATCTCTTGAGCACTGTCCTGGCCTAAACTCAAAGCTCCGCAAGCTGTGGTGTCAGGTAGAAAGCAAGGGTTTCTTCCAAGCAGAAGTAGGACAAAAGGAGTGTGGCCGTCGGGTGGGAGCCCTCTGTGGGGAGATAGGCCCAGCTCCCGTGGCCACGTGGAGGGTGCCAACTCCTGCAGCTGTGCCACGCTCAGGCCATCAAAGACTGCATAACAGCCTTGAGGGTCAGCCTGGCCATCCCACCCTGCGCCCTCGTGACTGCTCACAGTGTCAGTGTCGCAGATGTGACGCGGGTCGTGCGTTTGGACAAGGTGAAGATGTTCTCTGGCTCACAGCCCAACGCTGCTGCAAGGGGAAAACGAGGCCACAGGCCACCGCCTTACCAGGAATGTCTCTGTTGGCATGGCTGATCCCCTGAGCCTGGGCAACTCTCTCCGACAGATGAAACTTGGGTGCGACCACATCCACGTTCATTTCACTGCTGTGCTTTCTCAGCACATAGAAAACGCCGAGCACATCTATGGCCACACCCTGAAACCAGTACGGAGCAGAGAAGAAGAGGTTTAGATGCACAAATGGAGGCCTCACCTCCTAAGATCATAGAATAGAATCACAGAATCATCAAGCCCAACTGCCCCCCTACGCCTGCCATCCCACCCCCAAACCCTGGCCCTCAGCACCGCCTCTGCCCGGCTGTTAAATCCCCCCAGGGCTCGCCCATTCCCTGGGAGCAGAACCTGACCCCCACCTCGCTACAGCCTCCTCTCAGGCAGTTGTAGGCAGCGATGAGGGCCCCCCTCAGCCTCTTCTCCAGACTAAACAACCCCAGCTCCCTCAGCCGCTCCTCGTAAGCCTTGTGTTCCAGACCCCTCACCAGCTTTGCGGCTCTCCTCTGGACACGCTCCAGCAATGCAACATCTTTTTGGGATTGTGAACCCAGCATTCGAGGTGGGGCCGAAAATATGCAGCTTGAAGCTATGCCAGGTCCAAGGGGCATTGGGCAACTGAGCAAACCCTGAGAAGGGTCCCAGGCTGTTGGCTGGAGCTCTGCCCTCCCACAGCAAGGGCTACAAGTGGCCAGAAAGGCTCGAAGCCTCCCTTCTACTGCAGCCAAATTCCCTTCTTGGTGTCCATTGTCAAAAGAGCAGCTCTGTCACACCTTAGTGCCCTTCTGGGCACGAATTTCCTCTGCTTTCCCAGGAGGGAATGGACACTTGCACTTCATGGTGGGGGGCTGCCTGACAGCTGATCATGGAAACCATTTCCAGGCACACAAAGGAAAAGAAAGTCATCAGGAGTTGTCAGCATGGCTTCACCAAGGGATGTCATGCTGGACCAGCCTGATAACCACCTACGCTGACATGGCTGGCTTGGTAGATGAGGGGAGAGCAGTGGCTGTTGTCTACCTAGACTTTGTTAAGGTTTTTGACACTCTCTTCAAGGAGGTCCTCCCAGAGAAGCAGATGAAGTCTGGTCTGGATGAGCAGACAGTGAGGTGGATTGAAAACTGTAAATGGCCATGCCCAGAGCGCGGAGAGAAGTGGCACAAAGTCTAGTTGGAGGCCAGGAACCAATGGAGCACCCCAGGAGTCAATTCTGGACATGCAGAGTTGGACACGAGTCCAATCCTCTTTAACATCTTCATTAATGATGATGGGTCAGAGCGCATCATCAGCATGTTTGCTGATGACATCAAACTGGGAGGAGCGGCTGATCACGCCAGGGTCACGCTGCCATCCCGAGGAACCTCGGCAGGCTGGAGAAACAGGCTGGCAGGAACCTCATGAG